ATGGGATACTTTTGCTGTTTAACAAAGTAGTAGATGTGGTATGGCGAAGCTTTGTTCTTCGACGACGGTGCTAGCAAAAGGCTGTTGAGGCTTCTCGATCTCTTCAATTAGAGCAATGATGCCGAGCTTGGATTTGACTTAGACTCTTCCGTCTGGATTGTGCGGTTCCACAAGAAAGGGCGTTGTGCTGTAGCGATCTGTTCTAGCTCGCTGTTGAACCTTCTGCTTCAATCTTTTGTATAGCAGAAATGGTGCGCAACCTTTGCATTTAAATGGTCATTCAGAGCACTACTTCTCAATGACTCATCCATGCTTGGCAGCTTCAGTGTAAAGAGCCAATATCGTACCAATTGTTCTAAGGTATTTGCCGAAGGAATTCATGACCTTGACAACAGTTGAGGATGAGTACTCGAGAGCAATGCTAGGCAAGCGACCAGGCAAAGGTTCCGGGCAATCAGTTATAGATCGGAAGTTTGATTTCAGGTTCCGACTGATTGCATTCTTTCTCCTTGTCTTGCAAGTAAGAGCAAGGGCAAAGGAAAAGATAGGGAAAAAGCATGATATGGGATACTCTTGCTTTTAACCCTGATGATATGAGATATTCTTGCTCTGATGTGGCTGGTTGGCATGGGTATTATCGAAGGAGAAGAAAACAGAGTATTTCAAGAGGCTAGATTGGGAGTGCCATTTCGGATGTGAGGAAGGGTTGAGCATTTTTTTTTATTTGGTAGGTCTGCCTGGCTGTGGAGGATGGAGGTTGACATATATAGGAATTGTCCCAACAGCGAGTGGTAATGCTGTTCCTTTACCCTTCTTGGTTAAAGCAATGTAGTGGTCGTTGCAAGGTTCACGTGTTTTAACTTTGTCAGAGTACTTTGAAAAAATGGTCTGTGGTATCCAGAAAGCTGATGTTGTGTGTGAGAATTGTGGACAAATTTTATCCAATGAAATCCGACTTCTCGAAGTTCGGGGAGCAGTGCCTCTTCGATTTCTGAGCAGGCAATCTTGTTGGGGATATGGTTCTCGAGATTCGGAGAGCGGTGCCTCTTCGATTTCTGGGCAAGCAATCCTGTTAGGAGTGTTTTCTCAGATGTGAAGAAAGGTTGGTCATTTTTGCAAGTCTGCTTTGCCACGGAGCACAGAGGTTGACACACATAAGGATTTTCCAATAATCAAGCAGTGGTGCTATTCCTTTATCCTTGTGGGTAATAGTAGGGTAACTGGGCCTTCAACATTTACCTGTCCTAACTTTGTCAGAGTTCTTTGGCAAAGTTGTCCTTGGTATCCGAGGAATTGATGTCGCGTGTGGAGATTGCTAATAAATTTTAACCTAGGAAATCCGCTTCTCGAATGGTGCCTCTTCGATTTTTGAAAAAGCAGCCCTATTGAAAATCTGGCTCTTTCTTTTATAGGAGCACCAATTAAGTTCAAGGAATCCATTCTGAAAGTTATTGCTTGTAGGAATTTTTCCCTTATCTTCATACTTCTGAGACTTACTGTACTTCATTTTTTTTCTTCATCTTTTCTGAGAATGTCTGGCCCCTCCGACCATCGTTTGGATTTGAATGCTGTAGAAGAGGTAGCCATGTCTCCTCAAGATAACATATGGTGCCCATCCTTCTTATCTCCTACTGGTCCCCTTATTATTAGGGACTCTGTGATGAAGAATGATATGACCGCTGCAGTGGTGGCCAAGAATCTTCTTACTCTCATCTTATCTCCTACTGGTCCCCTTATTATTAGGGACTCTGTGATGAAGAATGATATGACCGCTGCAGTGGTGGCCAAGAATCTTCTTACTCTCAAAGACAACAGAGTACTTTCCAAACGGTCCGATGAGTTGGCTGTTAAGGATTCTCTGGCTTTCAGTGTTCAATGTGCAGGTTCTGTGTCTAATATGGCCTAACGCCTATTTGCTTGAACCCGCCAAGTTGAATCGTTGGCGGCTGAAGTGATAAGTCTCAAACAGGAGATCAAAGGGCTTAAGTACGAGAATAAACAGTTGCACATGCTCGCACATAGCTATGCTACAACCATGAAGAGAAAGCTTGACCAGTTACAGGAATTCGAGGGTCAGATTTTAAATGATCATCAGAGGTTTGTGAGTTTGTTCGAAAGACATTTATTGCCTTTATCCTCTGGGGTTGTACCACATACTGAAGCTCTAAATGATCAACCTCTGGTGCCTTCTCTTTCTGGGGTTCTGCCTAGTACTAAGGCTCCAAATAATCACCCTCCGATGCCTCCTATTTCTGGGGCTTTGCCGAGTGTTGAGACTTCTCCTGAGCAGCCTTTGTGAAGGCGCCTCCTGTTTGTTTGTTTTGATTCATGTGTATGCACGCATTTGTAATTTATCGAAGATATCAATAAATAAGTTTTACTTCATTCAACGTGTTGTGTTAAATACACTAAGGTATCCTTCACTAAGTTCTTTGAATTTTTTATTTTGTTGAAGTTTACATGTTGAAACTTCGTGGGTGGACCCTGTAGGTTGAAGTAGTGCTCCCTTAGTTTCTTGAGTGAGGAAAACTTCTTGGTTGAGGACTTGAAAAATCCAAGGCACTGAGTAGTTGTGAAATTTCTGAGTACCAAGGTGTAGTGGTAAATGGTAGGAGTCCCCCAAGTCTCCGGTCGAGGGAGGTATCTTGCTAGTAGGTAATTTTCCAAACAAAACTTCACCATTTTCCTTTCTAAGTGGTTGCCCAAAACTCCTCCTTCATATATATTTGGTATGAAAGTTGTTTAGGCCTAGAGAAAGGAAGGCCTAGGCTCATCTTTCTTTCTTTTGAATTTTCGAAAATGTTTTTTTTTTTTTTTTTTTTGTTTTTTTGGGTGAAGCTTTGATGTTGAAGTTTTGTAGGTGAAGTTTTGGTGTTGAAACTTTTGTCTTGAAGCTTTTGTGTTGAAGCTTTGTAAGTGAAGCTTTGTAAGTGAAGCTTTTGTGTTGAAGCTTTGTTGGTGAAGCTTTTGTGTTGAAGTTTTGTAGGTGAAGTTTTTGTGTTGAAGCTTTGTTGGTGAAACTTTTGTGTTGAAGCTTTGTAGGTGAAGCTTTTGTGTTGAAGCTTTGTAGGTGAAGCTTTTGTCTTGAAGCTTTGTAGATGAAGCTCTTGTGTTGAAACTTTGTAGGTGAAGCTTTTGTGTTGAAGCATTGTAGGTGAAGCTTTTGTGTTGAAGCTTTGTACATGAAGCTTTTGTGTTAAAGCTTTGTACATGAAGCTTTTGTGTTAAAGCTTTGTTGGGCACCATAAATTGATTTTGCTTCACACTATCTTGATCAAGAGTGTGAAGCTTTTGAGAATTGTAGTTGCTCTCCATTGATGAAGCTTTGTTTGATGTTGAAGCTTTCTTGTTGAAGCTTTGTTTGATGTTGAAACTTTGTAGGTGAAGCTTTTGTGTTGAAGCTTTGTTGGGGCACCATAAATTGATTTTGCTTCACAGTATCTTGATCAAGAGTGTGTGAAGCTTTTGAGAATTGTAGTTGTCCTTCACTTGTTGAAGCTTTTGTTGGCACCATAAATTGATTTTGCTTCACATTATCTTGATCAAGAGTGTGTGAAGCTTTTTGAGAATTGTTGTTGCTCTCCATTGGTGAAGATTTGTTTGAATTTCCCAATTTCATTTTTTTTTTTTTTGAATTTTCGAATTTTTTTTTTTGTTGGGAAAATTAGAAATTTGAAAATGTGGGAGAGACAATATATACAAATTTTGCTTCCACACTGTTGAGCAAGAGATTGTGATGCAAGCCACACCTTTTAGTAGTTGAAGGTTCGGATGAACCATATAAATTGAATTTGCTTCGAACAATCTTGATCAAGAGTGTGTGAAGCTTTCTACGAGTTGTAGTGTTTGCATTGTTACAGAGGAGAAATGTTTGAAGCAGATGTGAGAGGGCTGAAGAGCTTGATCTTTGTATACCATGCACTGAAGCCGTTGTTGGCTTGCAATAAGACTTTGTTGGTGACTATAACTCTTGTTAGGCATAAGTGCTCCCCTGGTTGAGTTGTAAAGCTTGAGGGTTTTTGATTATTTGTGAATGCTAGGACTTCACATGTATAAGTTGTGCCACTCGTCTTTTGGTTGGTGGAATGAATGGTGATTTGCTTTCATCACTTGGTTAGTGGTACGAATGTGAATTCCTTTATCACATTTCATCACCTGGTTGGTGGCACAAAGATGAGTTCCTTCTTCACTTGGTTGGTGGCATGAGTGGCAAGTTGCCAAATGATATTAGAGTACAAGTTGTACATTTTATCACCTGGTTGGTGGCATGAAGGAGAGTACAGGTTGTACATTTCATCACTTCGTTGGCGGCATGAAGATGAGTTCTTTCTTCACATTTCATCACTTGGTTGGTGAGAATAAGGGCAAGGTGTCGAGGCACATTGTAGCAAGTGTCGAATGACACAAAGTGGTTGAACCCTTTCGAAGCATAGTTGGCTTATGTATGGATGTGTTGGAATGTATGATGTTTATGTATGAAAGTGTTGGAATATATGCTGTTTATGTTGATTGACATGAGTGATGCTTATGAATGTTTTGCTATGCATGAAGGGATCCCTTGTTTGGATATAAGTCATGTTGACATATACTTAGACTTTATTTCATATTGTAAGCATTCGTGTTGAAGCTTCAAACCTGAGCGTTTCAGTGATAGGGATGTAAGGGAGTTAGGACCAAGTTGTCTAAATCACCTCTTTATTGAATTGATGCCAAATTGCCTTCATTACATAGGATGCCGAATGGCCGTAGTTTAACACTTATACAGTTTGAGTCTACTTGTGATAGTACTTCAAGTGATCAGCGTTCCATGGATGGCCAAGGGTCTTACCATCGGAGCTCCTTAGCTTGTAAGAACCAGGGCGACTGATGCCAATAACTTCAAATGGTCCATCCCAATTTGGGCTAAGCGTGCCTTCACTCGGGACTCTGTCGCAGAGTAATCTTTTCTTCAATACCCAGTCCCCCACTTTGAAAAAGTGAGGTTTGACTCTTGAGTCATATTAGTTGGAGATGCGCTGCTTGTAGGCGACATTCCTCAAGTGAGCTTGGTTTCTGTGTTCCTCGACTAGATCCAAGTTGAGGGTGAGTTGTTTGTCATTTTCACTTTGCATGTAGTTCTGGACTCGGAAAGTTGCTTGCTCAAGCTCAACTGGGACAACAGCCTCTGTACCAAAGGCAAGTGAGAATGGAGTTTCTCCTGTTGAAGTTCGATATGAAGTGCGGTATGACCAAAGAACTTGGGGTACAAATTCTGGCCAACAACCTTTAGCCTTGTCTAAGCTGGTTTTCAAAGTACGCTTGATTATTTTGTTGATGGCCTCAACTTGTCCGTTAGACTGGGGATGAGCTGGGGAGGCAAAACATAAGTTGATGTTGAACTTAGAACAGAACATCCTGAACTTCTTGTTGTCGAACTGTTGCCCATTGTCCGTAATTATCGCATTAGGAATGCCAAATCTGCAAAGGATGTTCTTCCATACGAAATTTTGTGAAGTAGTCAACTGCAATGATTGCATAGCAGACCTTGCCCTTTCCTGCAGGCATTGGGCTGATCAAATCAAGTCCCCATTGGGTGAAGGGCCAAGGGCTGATCATAGGAGTAACAGGCTCGGGAGGGGAGTGATGAATAGTTACGTAACGTTGACACTTATCACATGACCGGGATATTCTGATGGCATCTTGGTTGAGTGTTGGCCAGTAATATCCTTGGTAAAAAGCCTTGTGTGCTAGGGATCGAGATCCAGCATGATCTCCGCAGACTCCTTCATGTATTTCTCGAAGGACAATTTCCGCTTCCGCAGGTGTGAGGCACCGTAAGTATGGTAAGTTAAAACCTCGCTTGTAGAGTTGGTCATTAATGATCAGGTAGCGGGTAGACTTGTATCGAATCTGTTTAGCTTGGACTTTATCATTTGGGAGAGTGCCATGAACAAGGAATTTATAAATTGTGGTGATCCAGCTATCCCCCTGTTGCAAGTTGCACACTTCTGTGACCATGGTGCTTGGTGTTGCCAACAATTCGACATGAATTTTTCTCCCAATCTTGTCTTCCACTGCTGAGGCGAGGCGAGCTAAAGCGTATGCATGACTGTTTGCCGCTCGAGGGACTTGGGTGATCTGGTAGTGGAAGTGCTGGAGCAAAAGCTGTGTTTGCGCAAGATACGCTGCCATGGAGTTATCCTTAGCATTAAAGTTGTTCGTGACCTGGTTAACCACCAATTGGGAGTCACTGAAGATATTAATTTGTTTAACTCCAAGGTGTTTGGCCAAACGTAAGCCTGGTAAAAGGGCCTCATACTCGGCTTCATTGTTTGACGCCTTGAATTTGAAGTGAAGAGCATACTTCATTGCCACTTTGTCGGGGGTAGTCAGGACTAGTCCTGCTCCACAACCCTGTTGGTTGGATGAGCCATCAACATATAGAGTCCATACTGGGAGTGTTGGTTCTACCTTCCGGGGTTCCAAGGGTGATGAAGCCGCTGCCTCAGGTGTAGGAGAAATGTCAACGGAATAAGTGAATTCCACAATGAACTCTGCAACTGCTTGGCCCTTTTCAGCTAGCTTTGGGTGGTAGGAGATGTCAAACTTTCCCAGTGCTATGGCCCATTTGATCATTCGCCCCGAAGTGTCAGGACTCTGAAGTATTTGTCGGAGGGGGTAATTGGTAAGCACGATGATGGAGTGTGCTTGGAAGTAGGGGCGAAGTTTCCAAGCAGACATGACTAATGCTAGAGCTAATTTCTCAATGTTGGAGTATCGTGTCTCCGCATCTTGTAGAGCCTTGGTAACGTAGTAGACAGGTCGTTCGATATTACCATCCCTACGAATGAGGACGGAACTGACTGTTGAAGCTGAGACAGATAGATAGACAATTAGGGTGTCACCAACTTCAGGTTTGGAAAGCAGAGGGGCTTTACTCATGTACTCTTTGAGGTTCTTAAATGCTTCGGCACATTCATCGGTCCACGTAATATACTTCTTACTTCCTTTATGTGATTTGAAAAAAGGAACGCATTTGTCTGTGGTCTTAGAGATGAACCTAGTTAAGGCTGCCACCTTGCCAGTAAGGCTCTGGATGTCTTTTGAGGTTACTGGTTCTTTCATGTCCATGATTGCTTTGATCTTCTTGGGGTTAGCTTCAATGCCTCGTTGGCTAATCACGAAGCCCAAGAATTTTCCAGAGCCCACATCGAAAGCGCATTTGTTGGGGTTCAACCTCATTCGATACTTCTTCAGGATGGAGAAGGTTTCAGACAAGTTGGCAATGTGTTGGTCAGCATGTTTGCTTTTGACTAACATATCATCAACATAAACTTCCATGCTTTTCCCAATCTGTTCAGTGAACATTGAATTGACTAATCTTTGATAAGTCGCCCTTGCATTCTTTAGGCCGAATGGCATGACTTTATAGCAATGTAGTCCTCTATCAGTGGTGAAGGCCATATGTTCTTGGTCCGAAGGGTTCATGAGGATTTGATTGTACCCTGAGTAAGCATCCATGAAGCTCAAGAGTTCACACCCTGCTGTAGAGTCTACAAGTCTATCAATGAGAGGAAGGGGAAAGCTATCATTCGGGTATCCTTTGTTTAAGTCGGTGTAGTCGACACACATTCTCCACAAGATCTTTTGAAGCAAGAGACTTTCCTTGGTCGGATTTTTCTTAACAAGGACCACATTTGCTACCCACATTGGATAATTGACTTCATGGATGAAGCATATGTTTTTGAGTTTTTCAACTTCTGCCTTCATTGCTTCATATCGTTCAGCATCATAAGATCTTCGCTTCTGTCTCACTGTCTTGGTCTTGGGATCAATACTCAAGCGATGACAGATGATATCAGGAGAGATGCCTGGCATGTCCTCGTATGACCAAGCGAAGACTTCAGTGTTCTCTCGCAAAAAAGAGATCAATGCCAATCAAATGGGTGGTGACAAGGTGGTGTTAATCTTCACTATGCAATTTGGATAATCTTTTGAGATAGAGACCTTCTCCAACTCTTCAGCAGGTTGTGCTTGCAAGGTGAAAGAGTCATCTCGAGGATTGTTGGGTTGATTGTTACCACCGTGAATATTCAAATTGGCTTTGTCTAAGCTGGTCTTGATAACTTGGTCATGTATAGAAAGTGTTTCTTCGGGTACATGCAAGTGTTGTTGCTTGACTGAAGTGTTGTAACATGATTGTGCACTAAGTTGATCTCCTCTGATGTAACCATTGCCATAGGGGTTTGCAAATTTCATCAACAACATATGTGTGGATAGCACAGCCTTGAGATCATTAATGCATGTGATGACATTGTATGCCGTTGGGCAGTCAACCACCAAGAAGTTAGTGGTGATGGTGGCTGTGTACGGGCCTGTACCGATGGTGAAGGGTAAATGTACTCTCCCTAAAGGTTGCACGACATCACCAGATAAGCTTATCAGAGGAGAAACTGAGTGATCGAGCATGTGTTCAGCTACATTTGAAAGCTTCAGCAAACATGATATTGACTGACGCCCCCGTGTCGACCAGGATTCGTCGTACATCAAAGTTGGCTATGTGAGCCTCCACAATCAGTGGGTCGTTGTGAGGATAGATGATACCTCTTTCTTCCTCAGGGTAGAAACATATTGGATCCCAGTTAGGCTTTTGATACTTGCCTTCCCTGATGTTTTCCACGTGAAACACTTGGTGGCCAGGCTTCAACGTTCGTTTATTGTTTTTCATGGTCCTGTTGGAAGATTCAGATATAGGTGTGCCACCGCTTATGGAATGTATGACATTCACTTGGCGTTGGTTGCGGTTATCCCTTGGAGGGTGAAGGAGAAACTGGTCAATTTTTCCTTCACGTGCCAAAGCTTCAATATGATCACGGAAGGTGATACATTTCTCGCCGTCATGGCCATTATACTCGTGGTAACCACAAAACATGCCTGTGTTCTTCGTGGACTTGAAATCTGGCTCCCTCGGCCTTGGCTTTGGTATCAAGTGAGCTATACTGGGGTAAATGGCCGTGCATGTGGCGTTCAAAGGTGTGTATGTCTCATACCTCGCGGTAAGACCACTCTTGACACGTGTTTGGCCCACTGTATTGACTGCCTGGAGGCGGGTATTATTGTGGTGATACCTTTGGTTATCGTGATAGTGCCTCGTACTCTTTTTATTAAAATGAGACTGGTGAGGATGGAAGTCTTTCCTCTTGCCTTGAGAATGATACGCCTGTTGACTTGGCGAGGTATTAGGTAGGGCAGGGGGAAGCATCGCTGCTGTTTGGAAGGTTGAGGTCTTCTTATTCGGTTGGATTTGGCTTCCACTCCCTATTTGCTAATAAGGAATGACTATAGGGAGTTTCCTTTGATATGTCCTTGCCTCGACGGAGGCATGGTTATAAGCCTGTGCCATTACCTCAGAGTAAGTCTTCCAAGTGTTAGCATTGATCAAGTACTTGAACAAACAGTCGCGTAGGCCTACCGTGAAGGCTTTAAGGGCGGTCTTGTCATCTGCCTCAGCGCAGTGAGAATACTCATGGCTGAAGCGGTCGGCATACTTTCGTAGTTGATGCGAGAATTATACGCACACAAATTAAACCCTCTTTTTGACAATTGTAGTATAGATATAAGTAGGGATCGTTCTTAACCGGGGATTAGGAGGGATTGCAAACTCACTTGGAAACTGACTCAAAAACGTAAAATAAAGTTTAAAACACTAAACTAGACTCAAAGAATGCAAAACTAAACACTTAAAACACTAAAACAAACCAAAAGACTCAAACAGCACCCAAAACACTCAAAACTGCCTTAAAAACACTTTCTAGGCAGTTTTGAGCACTTTGGTGAATTTGGACGAATTTGTGTAACAAATTGAATCAAAACACTTATAAACACAAACTAAGACACTTTCTAACTAAATTGGACACTAAAGCAAAGGGGGATTGAGGTTTTGACGAAGTTAAACTAAATGCACAGATTGTAATTTAAAGGCAGAATGTAAATATGAATGTGATGGAATTGAATGGATGGGAAGCTAGCTAAGGGGTTCATCTCCACACATGTTATACTTGCATATAAAACGATTTCCAATTGCTTTTCAATAAACCATGAATTCTCAACGCCCCAGATTAACCGTGAATTGCACTAATTAACCCTCAGATTTTCCTAACGTTATTGAATTGGATGATTGTATACGACAACCCAAAACATTCCCCACAAGTCCCCTACATGATTGCATAATAGAGATACAAGCAAGAATCATTAAGTTCTATGAAAACCATAAGCATTGACGAAGCACTTGTTACTATGATTGCATGAAACTTATGCCAAGAATTTACTTAACGCGATTGAGATCATCAACCTTTACTACTTGTGAATATAATTCCATAACGATTAGGTGAAATTTCCTTATATCCTAGCATCCAATTTATGCATGATAATTAAGCGTGCACTCTCAATCAACACACACAAATCAATGTAATTCACATAGATAAGTAAATTGAATTCACAACTTATGAAACGCAATTAGAAGTAATCAAATCATATCGCAAGCATAAACATGTATTTCGAATCCCCCCCTAGCCAGGGGGGGTTTGGTTCCTCATACGTACAAGACAAAGAGAATTGAAATTAAACATTGAAATCAAAGGAAAAGAAACACCTAAACATTCCAACAACTCAAACTTGAATTGTATGAACGTTTAGGCCCTCTTCTCTTCCTCTTTGTTGCGGCACAAGGTCTAAGGATAGGTTTTGGGGTGGTATTTGTATGGAGGAATGGTTGTGTGATGGTGTGAAGTGTGTATGAATTTCTAGAATGGTGGAGGAAGGCACGGCACAAAGGGATTTTGGTGAGTTTTGGGGGTTATGGATGATGTAGAATGATGTGTTTAGGGTAGGGATGGATGTAGGGGACGGCAATGAGTGTTTTTGGGCAGAAAATATGAAGAATGGTGAAGTATGGCTGTGTTAGAGAGAGGGAATGAATTTCTAGCGTGAATGGTTAATGAATCCCCCCTTTTGTGGCTGCAATGGATGTTTATTTATAGGTGGCTGAATGATTAAAGAGGGAATATGAATGGAATGACAGCTAGGGAGAGAATGTGGCTGCCATCATGAAGAGTGAATGGATGTGGCTGAATAATGAAATGGGAAAGCATGTGGCTGAATGGATTAAAGAGGGAATGATGATGGGATAGCATGTGGGTGACAGCTAGGTTGGTTGGTGGCTGCAATGGTAAAGGGGGAAGTGCATGTGGCTGAATTATGAAGAGTGAATGCATGTAGGGTGCGGCTATGGTGGGAAATTTTGGGCAGAAAATATCCTAAGGTTTATTACATAATTTTAGGAAAGGATTGGACCCCCAAATCCCTAAGGAAAAGGAGATATGAAATCAGAAATCAAAGGAAAAAGGGAAAGTAACTTGCGGCATTGAATTGTAAGAAAGGGAATGTGTTTTAAGGCTGAAATTAGGGAAGGATTTAGGATAGAAAAAGTATGTAAAGTGTGGCTGAGATTAAGGTAAAAAGGAATGTAGTTTAATGACATAGAATAGGCAACAAAGACCTCTCTTGCACGGCAAGGAAGGGAACCACTTATGGAAGGCCACGGCAAGGCAATTAGGTTGCAAGGAAAACTTTATTTGTGTTCTAAAATGCATAGGAGTCTTCAATGTTGCTCAAACATAAGATCTTTAGGTCTTCAATTTCGTCCATTCCTTTTGCTCCAAGCATATGCTATCCATTCCAAGCCCAATTTTGCTCCAAAATGCACCTTTTTGCTTCCTTAGCCATATGAACCTAGAAACACACGAAAATGGCATAAAGGACTAAAATAACTAAAGAAACACAACATAAATGCATGAGAACAAGCCAATTAAGTCGCATAAATATGCTCCTATCAGTAGTGACTCATCCGGCTTCTGGCGAATAGTGTATAAGTCATCTGCGGAATGCAAGCGATCTGTCTGGAAGATGTGTTGAGAGACAAATAATTTCCTCAGTTCCTCAAATGAGTTTACTGTCTCAGGTGGAAGACAGCAATACCAATTCAGAGCTCCGCCAGAGAGGGTAGAGGGGAAGAGAAGACATCGTTCTTCGTCAGTGTGCATCCGATATGCCATGGTGGACTCAAAGAGGTTAAGCTGTTCAATCGGGTCCCCCTTTCCAGTGTAGAGTTGTAAGCCAAGCTTCTGCTTTGTCTTTACTTAGAGGGGGTGTCGAGGATCCTCCTTGTAAGAGGGTCAGGCCTAGGTTGGTTCCAGTTAGGTATTTCGGCCTGTTGTTCGGCCTTTAACTTGTTTACTTCCTCAAGGAGTTGTAGGACAAGGGGGTCTTGAGTGGAGTCAGGTACTGCTGGATCCTTCTTCCGTAAGTCTCCATCTCCTCTTGGAAGTAGGAAAGCTTGGTCAAGGGCATGGGATTTTTCTTTGGACTCACCGTACTGACTTCCAAGGCGAGCCTGTTGAAACGCCCTCGAGTCCCTCGTACCTTCATATTCCTCTAGGACATGTCGCTCATTCCCTAGATTGGCAATTGGTTTGGGGCATGGAAGAGGACCGAACCTTTCAGAAACCCTTGGATCATTGACCTTCGAGCTTATGTGGATGGGGTTCTCCCGACGTTGCCTCAGGAAGTCCCGACAGTCGCGATAAACAGCTTTTGATCCTTCTACTCCTTCTGCAAGAAAGTGCCGTCCTCCACTTCTCTTGCTTCAGGTTGAAGCAGCTGGGTCGAGAGAGGTCTCATGTTGATCAACACCTTGATGAGTAACTCGCTCCCCATTATGGATATCCATGTTGAAGGCAGGTGATCCCTCGTGTTGGGGGGCACCCAGGTGGTGGTTGACTTCCCCCGGGGCGATGAGTTCGTGTGTTTGAGTATGCCTA